TGACAAATCAATCTATATAATCTAATCGAATATATATAATTAAAGAAGGCATTTTCCGAGAGCATTCGGCGTGGCACATAATTAAGCAAAGGTATTATTTTGACTAATTAAAAATTAGATTTCTATTTTATTTTTTATATTAAAAAATTCACTTTTCACCTAAGCAAAAGTGACGAATGAGATTTGAAATTTTAACACATAGGTAAAAACAACGAATAGTGATTTATAAGGACTTAATTTAGTTATAGAACTAAAAACAGTATTTATTTTAGAATTAAAAAATTCACTTTCCATGTTTAAATGTATATTTGTGATTATGGCTTACAATGTGTTTACTTGGAATGTTTAATGATTATATGTTTATGTTTTGTTCATTGAATTTTGTTTTTACATGCAGATCTAATTTAATAAGAGAATTATATTCGGGCAAAAATAATTGGAAAACCAAAGTACAAAGAGGGTATTATATTTGTATAAATCGTTTACATTTATTAAATTGTTTATAAACCTTTTTAGTTTTTATTAATTAATTTTATGATTAATTTTTTTTTTTTTTTTTTTTGTGATTTAGGTAGCTTAATCAAGTCATCAAATTAAATTAAATTTTATTTTTAATTACAGGGTGATTACGTCTATGCCTCATTTAAATCCAACTTTGTACAATTTCGTCCATAATTAATTGAAATAAAAGTTTGCACCATTAAATACTTTTCAACTATCACAAATAAGAAGCGAGCGACGATTAAGGGATGATTGATAGCAGAAAGTTGAAGTCTACTAAGAGCAAACCTGCCAAGCCAACGCCTCAGGGTCTGTTAGTGCTTCTAGGTAAGACTCATGCTGGTCCATTGTGCGTAATTCCACACATGTAAAGTTCAAAGCAGCTTCATGTTGCTTCAACATTACTGCAATCGGAGCATAGCCAAACCAATTGTTAAAAATGTAGAACCTAGCAGTCAGCTCAGCAGCATGACTGGCCGTCTTGTACCACCAATAATGAATACCTGACAGCTGCGCACCAACAAAAGTCTTAGACTTCATTAATGAAAGCACATTCCAACCTTCAACTGTAGATAGCACATTGAAATCACAAATGCCCGTAAAGCAGGGCCTAAAACATTGCTTCCTCACCTTTGCAGCAATAGGGAAGCCTTCAAAGACTTGGTTGGCCAGGGAAAGTACACGACTTCCATGATCAATAAGAACCTTAGAATACCAATTCAGGAAAAATCTACCATAATAGCTGTCATAAACACCACCATCCCGAAAGAATCATGTCTTGTGTGGCCAAGAATTATAAGAACCTGAATTATCAGGTGTTGTGCCCCAACCCCAATACACAACTCCTCTCACTTCAGCTACCTTCTAAAGACTCTTCATAAGATATTTGTCATAACACTGCAGAAGGCAAGTTTTAATTTATGTCAGGTTTCTTCAATATATACCATGCTTTGTTAATTCCTTTCAAAAAATATCCTAGCAGCAACTCTTTTTGCGCTATGAATTGTATAATCCTAATTATGAATTGAAATATCCTAGTTCTTAACAAAAAATTAAAATGTCTTTTCACGTGTTGCAACAATTGAAGCATTCAGAAATTGTTGGGATGAAAGTATTTGGAATCTAAAACAACTTTCAACAATATGCAGGAATAATGCAGGTATGTAGTAAACAATTTACAGTATGCAGATAGGTTTTTACCTGTAATTCATCAATGCCTGGATATTTCCAGCCATGATTTGCAGAATAGGATAGATAACGTAGCTCCCCACATGGACCTAGCTCAACCTTAATCCCAGAAATGGTTCCACATTCAAGGAACTCATTGAATTTCGACGGAACCTTCTCATGTAATCATAGTAAACCTGTCGTGTCACCAGAAAGAATTTCAGAAATATGATTCACAAACAAACTCATCTAAACTAAATAGTTCACTGTAGAATATGGTATTTTAATTTTTTTTTTAAACAATATGGTATTTTAATTAACGTAGTACTTTGTGATGCAATTTCCATGACATCGTAACTAAGTTATCTAAACCCTGAAAAAAGAATTAAAAAGGCATGTATTGTACTAAGAGATGAACGAATACAAAAGCAAACTGCCACTAATAAGTCCATAAATTGTAATACCATAACTACTGTACGACCTCTTAATACATGCTATTTGTCTATTCCCCAATTACGTCTGGAGTTGAAAGAATTCATCGATGAACAAACTAGAGTAAGTTTTATGATTATTTCTTTTTTCATTAAAATATAGTTCCACTTTCTCTCTTTAGAGTCTAGTCATATCGCTTCTGTAGAGATAAGTTACCCGTTCGATTTGGTTGGTGGTATATTATGGTTAAAATAAAATAGTTAATAAGATATAAAATGTTATATGTTATTGCATTTTTGCGTGAAACAAATTATATTAAAATTATTAAATTAAAAAATTACATAAAATTACATGTACGTAGTATATTATATCAGTTGACGCATATAATCATGTGTATTAATTACTCAAAATTTTCAAATTATTTTATACATTCTTTTATCCGATCCGTGAAATATATATCATGATTACTTTAACCGATTTTTGTGATCTAATGAAAGAGAGGAATGTGCACATCATCCCAACATAGCCTTCATAAGCATGAAAAGACATATTTTATGAGATAAGGAAATTAAGAGCTAAACTGAACTGATTGGAACTGAACTGAAATTTAGCTGAAGTGAACAGGCCCAAAGTTTGCATATTAATGTAAGAATCATTATGAGTACATTCTTGATCCGAAAATTAGTTAGTCCAAATAAGAATAAGATGATTAATATGACAACAATTTAGTTTACAAAAACATAATAAAGATATATAGCATGTAAAAAGAATCATTTTTTTTACTCAAGACATAATATTGCTTAATAATATGTATCTAAAGACCTGTGAAGTTTTGAATGCCTAACCATGTCAAGCCATTAGAATCTCACAATTTTTAAAATCAGGGAATCAGAAATGAATTTTAATCTACTAAGTTTTTTTCATTTTTATTAAGTAGTAAAATGAATTAAATTGGTACAATGTTAGTTGTGGCTGCTGGTTTGTGAATAGTTTATATGATAATGATGGTAATCATGTCTTTGTAAGTGACTGAGGTAGCGATGCTGTGAGAAACTTGTGTGGTAATGGTTGTGAGTGAGAAAATGCAATGGGTAATGGTAGTATGTTAAATTAGTGTATGGATATGTTAAATTAGTGTATGGATATGTTACGTTGGTGAAGGACTAAAGGTCTTATGGTGAGCTGTCCACTAAAAGTGGATGCATACCTAGATAAGAAGTTTTTTTTTGTGTACAATGCTTTGGAATAGTGTTTTATTAGGGTGTGACTTGTGAGGCCGGACATGTCCTCACTATTTCTCCTCCTCATTACTAATCATTTGTCCTTTTTTCTCTCTTATCACTCCCATAAAATCTCTACATGTGACGCATGATGAGTTGTTACACAAGTAACCCCTATAGGCTATAACACTAATGAGTAACGAAGTAACCTTCTCGATAGTTGGCCACACGGTATGTAAGAATTTCTGCAAGAAATTAAGGGGTGTTAATGTGTTATATATCGCCAACAAAAATGATCAAAATCGTCGACATTTAGTGTGAATGGACTATAACCATACCCTTTGTACTTCACCACTATCTTCCCTCTAGCCATCATTAACACCTTAACACCACCACCCTAATCGGCGACGACGACCATCACAGCCACACTGAAGGCAACGACCACCACCACCACCCTGTTGGGGATTTTCTAGTAAACAAGGGTCATAAAGGAATAAAAATGAAATTATTGGAAAAATCTTCGAGGCGTGAATGAGATCACTTTTCCAAAAGTATAATTCCGACCCTATACTACAACTGACAATAACTCTTTATGCCAAAGTGATAAGATAGAAATTATATTTCATCTCTCAATTTTCATTCATTATATGAGGAGTTTCTCATATATATAAGATATTAGTATGTCATTATATTTTACCAAACGTAACAATGCATTTAGTCCTGCATTAAAATTAAATAATGTTTTATGTCATGCATTGAACAATGTCATAAAACATACATAAAACAATGCATTAAGACATGCATTAAGTAACAATACATTAACCGCCAAATGTTATCAAGAGATATGAAACTGAAACAATGCATTAAGACATGTCTTGTATTAAGACATGCATTAGTCATCAATTGATACATGAGTTATAATGCATCAAGAAACTGTCATACTAGTGCAAGAGATATATCGAAACTAAAATTAAATCTTATGTAGTGGTTGCAACATAATTAGTGACGAATCAACCAATTTCTTCCTTTCTCTTGACTAGTTGTATACTACCATCTTATAAATTAATCATATGTTGTCTAAGTCTGACACCTTAACCAAATGACTTAAACTTAACGTGAATAATAATCAACTAACTCTAAATTCTCCAACACACCCTGACCGGCAACCCACCACATCCCCCTCAATGACCAGCGACCCACTAGACCCCTCTCAATGACGACCCACCCCCCTTCCTCGCCCAAAATCGGTTACCATGCTAGGTGACGGAAGCTTAAAACCGGTTACCAAATATTGTAGTAAGGGTATGATTGTCCATTCACACCAAATATTGGTTGTGGCGATCATAATTGATGGCGGTGTTTAGCAATCCATGAAATGAACTATACACATAAAAAAAACGCCGTCTGTGGGGATCGAACCCACGACCACGTGGTTAAAAGCCACGCGCTCTACCACTGAGCTAAGAAGGCTATTTCATTGATTATTTATTACTTTATAACAAGTCAAAATAGAAAAGCAAAATTCAAAAAAGTATTGCGCATCCGGGGAATCGAACCCCGGTCAGTACCGTGGGAGGGTACTATGATACCACTACACTAGATGCGCTTGTTTTTATTCACACTAAAATTTTATCAATATATTTTCTATTATACATCAACAATAATTCCCAATTAACAGTCTCTCAGAAATTGAGAGTACGATTGCGTTAGTTAACCCACCTCCTTTCTCTCCTTCCCAGAATTCCTAGAAAACAAAGGATGAAGGTGATCGACAAGATCAAAGCAGCAGAATCAGAGAACAACACCATCTTCTCCTTCGAATTCTACGTTCCAAAAAACGAAGACGGCGTCGTAAATCTATCGAAGAGTATGGAGAATTTGGTGGTTCATTCCCCTTCTTTTTGCGACATTACTTGGCGTGCAACTCAAGGACCTTTAACCCTAGAAATCGCAAATCTTATGCAAAATTTAGTTTCTGTTGAAACTATGATGCATCTTACCTGCATTAATATGCCTCTTCAAAACATTGATCATGCACTCGATACTATCAAATCCTTTGGTTTGCAAAATGTTTTGGCTCTTCGCGGTGATCCACCTCGTGCTCAGGAACAACTTCGTGTTGACGGCTTTTCTTCCGCCCTCGAACTCGTAATCGACCCCACTTAACTCTTATAATCTCGGTTTTATAGTTGATTTTAGGGTTCAGGGTTTTTATTTTTTAATTTGATTTCAGGTTCATCATGTAAGGAGCAAATATGGAGATTACTTTGGGATTACTGTTGCTGGTTATCCTGGTAATGATTATTCCTGATTTAATTTTATGTATTTGGCAAAATGTGAATTGCTATTTAATTTACATACATGTCATTAATTTAGAGGCACATCCTGATGTTATTGGAGCTGATGGTTTAGTAAGTACAGAATCATATGCTAATGATCTTGCTTACTTGAAAACAAAGGTATTCTTGATCTCTTTCTTTTCTATGCCACAAGATTTGGTTAAAATTTCTAAGTTAAATGATGTTATTTGTGGATCTGCTGCAAATGGCTTAGGTTGATGCTGGTGCTGATGTTATCATAACACAGTTGTTTTATGATACCGATGTTTATCTCAAGTTTGTAAATAATTGCCGCCAAATCGGAATTACCTGTCCAATTGTTCCTGGCATTATGCCCATTCTTAGCTATAAGAGGTTTTTAGGAACGACTCGTTTGTGTAAAACAAAGGTATATATACTGTCCTGCTAGATACATTAGATGCTGCTTGCTGACTTTTGTGTATTAGGTTACTTAAATTGCTTGTTTTGGGCTGGATGTAAATATATTTTGTAGATTCCTCAAGCGATCATTGATGCATTGGAGCCAATTAAGGACAACGACGAAGCAGTGAGAGCCTATGGTATACATCTTGGAACTGAAATGTGTAAGAAGATTTTGGCTAGTGGAATCAAACAGCTTCATTTCTATACAATGAATGTGGACAAGTCTGCACTAGGAATATTAATGGTCACTCATCCTCCCTTCGTATAATCAACTTCCTGCTTGTCATCTGTTAGATTTATATTCTTTTATACTCTGTCCAACTGCTGCAGAATCTGGGACTGATTGAAGAGTCGAAGATTCAGAGGCCACCTTGGAAATGCTCAGCAATTGCTAGCAGCACCGAGGAAGATGTTGGGCATGGGCAACGTGCTGATGCTCATAACGCTTTTTATCTTCAGGTAAGTTGATATGCTAGCCTTCGTCTTAATCTGCTGTAAGACAAATATCTGTTGCAATATTGCTGAAGTTGGCATACATGAGCTTACTTGCTTCATGTACCTATTGAGTTACATATGATCATAACTTACATGCTTGAAAATATATTCTTTTGTACCAAGTGCTCATGCCTCCTCCAACTATATTTCCCTTGCCTTTAACATTTATCTTCTTAGCTCTTGCTTGTCTTTTGCTTGCTCGATAATTCACTAGACCATGTTGAATGTAAACACTTTTGCCAATCACGCTCTTCTCTAAGTTCACACTAAAAACAAGTTATGGTCGTAAGGAAAGTTGATACAACGAACTCTGCTTGTATAACGTTTAGCATTAACCTTCAAACTTGAAACTCGAAGTTATAACGTTTTCTAATTCCATGGTATTATACTATTATGGTGACCTGTTTATTTATATTAGCAGTCAATTCTCAAAGTATTATCATACTAGTATTCTTGTAATCTCCCTAATAAAATGGAAAAGTTTCATTGTGGTTGCTTCCTCTTGGACTCTACTGAAATTTTGAGCCTGTCTTAATGAGATGAGCTTCAACGTGAGCAACTCAGCACCTCTGCTGGTGCTTAGCAAGATGCCGTATTCCTGCTGGAGTTGTAACCATGAGATGTCTCTGAGAACATGTCCTTATTGTTTGCTATCGAAGCTATTGGCAATAGCTAGTATAGTATATGCATAAGGTAGACTTCCATTTCTGCTGATTTAATTTGCTGAAAACATTGGTGTAATGATCGATAATTATAGCCAATCTTGTGGTGTATGATGCTTTGTTTTTGTTTCAGACATTCAAGAGCGTTTGCCTTGGCAAGCTGAGATGCAATTTAGTCTGAAGCAGAGGCCCTTCATCAGACAGATACAAAGATCGTAGGCCAAGGAATTCCTCACCAATTCCATCAATTGTCAATTAACCAGCTTTTTTTTTTATTGGATATAAACTCAAGGATTATCTACTATTGATTGCCAATCAACAGTTTAATGGAGAAAAATCAAACTCCTCTGCTATTGGAAAGTATAAGTTTTAAAATTCGAGTATTGAGATTATAGATGCAGGACTTGCCATGCTTACAATTACGCCATTCCCATGATTTATTTATTTTCAATTCCCATGATTTATTTATTTTCAATTCCCATGATCTTAACACTCTTCTCTTTGGAGATCTTAAAACGGAGTAGGAGATAATAACTACTTGTACATTTTTATATACTTTCTCTGATTTTTCCGTAATTTGCAGCACTTTTTATTCATTGCATCATTCCAATCATAATATCTTAAATTATATTCCAATCATTCATGCACCATTTTTTTTTTATCTTTAATTATCAATTTGTTGTAAACAATAAATACATATCTTGATATCACGAAAGTATAAATCGAAACGAATCTAACAATACTTCACACGATTATATTTTTCCTTAATTACTTGTAAACAATTTTTTTTTTTTTTTAAAATATAGATCATCAATTCATATTTTGTATTTTTATCAAAGTTGAATATATGATAATCAAATTATTACAATCTATAACTATAACTAAAATAAAAACCACTTACATCACCACTGTACACATGTCAATTTCTCATAAAAAAATTTCCCTCCAAAATTTGACATCATTTTTATCAAATTTTTTTCCTTCCAAATTCAATATTAGGAAAATAATTTTAAATAAATAAATTAAAGTGTGAACATCAATTAACAAAAAGCTTATTAGTGATATTTCTCTTTTCAAACACCCACATTTTATGAATTAATTATTTTATATTGTATTGAATTTTTTATTCTAATTGGTGAATCGCACGAGTGCTAATTTAGTTTAAAATTAAAAAAAATTAATAAAGGAAGTGTCTGTAAGTGAATGAAATTCATTAATGTCTAATCGTGAAAATGAAAATAAATAGAGACAATTATAGGATATATATATAATTATTTATTCATTAACTTTTATATCAAAGAGCCTTCTTAGCTCAGTGGTAGAGCGCGTGGCTTTTAACCACGTGGTCGTGGGTTCGATCCCCACAAACGCCGATTAAATCTTAAAAGATAAACTTAAAATAATTTTTGAATTTGCTGTTCTAATTGATTTTTGTATCTTCAATCTTCAATAGGTTATAATTGGACCTCAAATTCACCACAATCAAAGGTCAGTGTGAATTATTGCAAATTTATACACTACTTAGTTTCTTGTTTGGATTGTTGCAACTATTTACAATGTTAGGGAATCTTAATTATCGGAGTATAAAAAAACATAGTAAATGATTAAATTCAGGCGTTGGATTTGTTATACTAAGATATGGAATATCAAATTATTTTAAATTTTTGACATTTAGAGTTATAAATGGTGAAGGATGTGTATGATATAATCTAAACAAAACATCAAAAAGAAGCAAAGTGAAAAGAAATGGATGGAGTATAAGGTAATCATTATGCTATGAGTGTTGTTTGCAAACATTGGCTCGATATTGTGAGCGTAGAAACACCTGGTGAACCACCATGGATTACAGTCAAATCGTCTTTGGATTATGACAATGGAGATGAATATATTAGTTGCATGAATTTGTCGGGCAATGAAGATTCAATGGATCAGGCCGTTAACAAATAAACTGCCCGGTTTCTCTATGGATATGACTCGAGCTGCATCTTGTGGGCGTAGTATCATCTTAGCATATGGCCATCAGTTTTTTTTAAAAAGAAAGGAAAAAAAAAAAAAAAAAAAAAAGTTGATGGCCATCATGTAGTGATGTACACAGGTGGATATATATAGCAAATTACAAAATAATACTACTACTTTATTTCTCAACAAACACCCAATAATAGTTTACAAACTACGTATGATATTTTTGTGATAAATTTCTATTCCCAACTTCATTTCACAACACACACCCAAGACGAGTTTCTTTATCCATCCACACCATACATTCTTGATCGAGCGCATCCTTTTCCTTTCGTTATCCGAATGGAGATCGGACCTACCCATGTCACCGTGACAACGTGTTTCTATGAATATAATGTACATTTTTAACTACGGAGTACATTTCATAAAGTCAATCACACACATAAGGAGCAAAGGCAAACAACATAAGCAGAGTATGAAAGGCGTATCGATCTCTTGATACTTTTATAAGTGTTCACATGGTGTCTAGCTCCTTTGACTTTAAAAAGTCAGCTTCATAACCATCCAAATAAACAACATAACTCGTTTCAACTACACATCTTCTTTTTCCTGCAACATATGAAATATGGAAAAGTTAATTTCTTCACACAATCTAAGTTAGAATTCTATAAATATATGCATGCTACTCTTCAAAAACCTTCTCGAGTATTCCCACGTACTCGTTCAAACTTTTAACTTAGTTTTATATCACCTGAATTTGCAGCTACTACTTCTCTCTTTGCAGATATATACAAGGCCATAAAATATACGAAGATGATCATCGAAGATCAAGAAATACAGACAGAAATTTTGACAAAACAGCAGCTAGCTCTTGCAGTTAGAAGCTCACAATGGAGCTATGCAGTCTTCTGGTCCTTGTCAACTGCAGAGCAAGGGTACATCTTCTCACCCCCCTTTGCTTTGTTCATTACCTCGTTATGATGTGTTTCACAGGCCTTATTATAAGGGCTGTGCTGTGCTGGTGAGCAGCGACACCAAGTAGTCCGATATATAATGATCACACTCTAATCCTTAGAATTTCAGTTAAACAACTAAAACTTGGATCATCTAGCTAGATAAATCGTTGGGTTGTTCGTCAGCTTGTTCCATAAAAGACCTATCACAGTAAATAAAAATTTTGATCAGCTTATTGCATTGTGAAATTGTGCGTGATAAAACTTATATTCTACTATGCTGTAAAACGTATGTATGCATGTCCCATATTTAAGTATCAAAAACCATTTTTAGTAAGTTTTTTCCTCTCTACTTGACAAAAAAGAGACATCAAATCTACCCATCTACTCATATTTTTTCTTTTTTTCCTGTCCTTATTCTCTGTATAATACTTTGTGTATAACTTAGCTGTGGGATAGAAGAGAAGGTATACTAGCTAGAACTGGTATACATTTGACTTCCACCAAATAAACTAACCTAACCAATAGGAAAGCAACCTATCTATTGAGTTAGCAATAACAAAACTTTGCTTCACTATTATTCGATCGGAGACAAGAAAATAACTCTTAATAAGTTTAAGCAGGCTTATTAGTTGTCTGATGCAAAGACCCCCTGAAATATACAAAAAATGATAAAAGAAAAAGGGCTTGGAAGTTTGGTTAGGGAGATAAGATGTGCTGAATAAATATTTGAGATGAAAAACAATTGAAGAAGTGGAATATAAGAAACTACTGTTATTTCAAAACCAGATTGTTCAATGGATGAACATACACCAACTGTTTATTATCGCGTTAGCAGAGATGACAAGTCCAGTCATGTACTAGTAGGGTGGAGCTGTCAGCCGTGGAGGGACGAGGGAGTAAAAGATTTTATACATAGTAGTCCTTTAGTTTTATCTCAGCCCTATACACTTTCTTGATAAACTTGATTTATCTTAACAATTGCCGCGTGGAATTAAAAATAATCTTTGCAGGGTACTGGAATGGGGTGAAGGGTACTACAATGGACACATTAAGACGAGAAAATCAGTTCACAACAAGGATGTTGACAACCACAAACTAGGTTTAGAGAGAAGTGAGCAATTGAGAAAGCTTTATGAGGCTCTTTTAGAGGGAGAATCCGAGCAAGGAGCTAAGAAACTCTCACTGGCACTATCTCTGGAGGACCTCTCTGATCTCGAGTGGTATTACTTGGTTTCCATGTCCTTCACTTTTAAAGTTGGCCAAAGGTACAGGACCAATCTTCTCCATCTTGTTTGTCTCGAATGTTATAAATTTTACCTTGCTAAATTATATAACAATCCTCTCAATCTTGCTAGTCATTATTTCTATCTCAGCCTTAAGTAGTTGGTTCTGACTTGTACTATGATACAGTATGTAACCGAATCAGAAAACACCTTCCCCCTCATTCCAATCCCAAAAATCTAATCCATGTCAATTATCACCCAAAGTCTGACTGCCTGAACCATATAGTTTTGTTCGGAAACTCCTATGACAACCAGGTGTACCTAGTATGGTAGTACCTAAAGGACAGTACACCAATGCACTCCACAAGCATATTCCTAGGGGCTTTGGTGTATAATAGACAACGAGCCTGTTGATAGATGTTACTCCAGGATAAAACAACTCTAATAGACGAATCAACCTTAAGTGTGTAATAATTCTCTCTACATATAGTATATTAATTAAACTCACAACTGTTATATTTCAAACAATTGGCCAGTTTGCCAGGAAGAGCATTGGCAACCGGGCAACATATCTGGCTATATGACACTCAATCTGCTGATAGCAAACTGTTTACTCGCTCTTTGCTGGCAAAGGTTAGAATTGGGGGCATTTAGAATCTGTTTCATATGCATATATTATAATTAAGAAAAAATTATACCAAACTACTTGCTAATTTCTTTTACTCATTTCCTTTCGGTCTTTCTCCTTCCACAACAAATCTGGGTTTGTAAAGAGTGCATCTATCCAGGTATGATCAATTCTCCTATCTCCTATGATACTAAGCTTCAGTCTATTTGTTGTTGTGGATTATTCTAATACTGTACTTGATACTCAAATATGATATGACACTATAGTTCAAACTAGATGCAAAATTATGTAGCTCCTAAGTTATATAGTTGACATCAGCCTCACAATATGCGCCATTCACAAGTTTGAGTGTGTAATCTCTTGCATATTGCCAAATATCAGCATACTTGAATTTTGACCAGAGAAAAATAATGCAGTACTAATCTGTAACTTTACCAGGAAACTGCACCTTCATATTCAAGGGTCAGAAACAATTTTACCCCACATTGTGTAGTTCAGTCATTAGCAGCATAGCTCAATCACACCTAAAGCAATTCTGCATCAAAACTAAAAATATTAAGACTTAAATGCAAACAAAAAATTTATCGGAGAAGATAAGATATGTAATTCCATACCTTAAGATCAGCAGTGATTAGTTGTCCATGCCATTCTCTGAGAGCTGTGTACAGAAATCAATTTTCATTCAAAGCTGAGAAACAAGCAAATACAAATTATACCACCAGATACTATTTATTACAACTATGGTAAATCATTGTATATTTTAGTTTCATTCGACATGCTTCTATATTTCCAACACTATGCGGCAAAAAGTGTCAAGTGGTTAAAAAATTAGGCCCTTTAGCATTAGCCTAAGAATAACTTGAATGACTGAATGCCTTGCTTCTGTTATTTGCTTGCAGACAGTAGTTTGTTTTCCACACAAGGGGGGTGTGATAGAGCTAGGTGTAACAGATTTGGTAAGCGCTATACTCATAATGCAGAGCCACTAATCACCTAAGTTCACATATTGTACTTTGTCACCATAATAATACATTTTGAAATGATTTCTTCATTATTGCTTTTCATTCAAGGTATTAGAGGACATAAGTTTCATTCAACACATAAAAACTGCCTTAGTACAACCTATAGAGCCTGATTGCTCCCCCAAAGCTTCATCAGTTTCACAAAAGGAAGATTCTGACAAGGACCATGTAATTGCTAACATTACCGAGAATGAGGATGAGATGGTGGATATATTACCTTTCTCAAGCCTTCATAACTCTGCCGAACAAATAAAGTTTGACGAAGATATTGAAAATGGATTATATCAAAGTGTCCTAGAAGAATTCATAGGTTCTCCAGGTGATTGCTCAAATGACTCCAGCCACCATGCAGAGGAATCTTTCTACAGCTGCACATCCACCTTCATGCCATGGAAGAAAGAATTAACAGCCGATAATTTCAGAATGCAAGAATCACAGAATACTCTGAAAAAGGTCTTATTCAGAGTACCTTTGATAAAAACAAATAGGAGTAACTCAGGCAGAGTAAATGAAGATGAAATGCAAGACTATCCTATGAGTCCACAGACTTATGATGTATATAAGCTGGATTTTGCTTTACAGGAAACCACAGCTAATTTACTGCTCTCCGAATTGGAGGAGAAAAAAGACAATCCACTGTATATGGTACAAGAGTCAATGATTCCTTCCATCACCGAGGTACTTCATCTCTATTTGTATCTTTATTTCACTACTTTGTCAACAAACATCAGAACTAGCAGGAACACTTTTAACCAAATAAATAGCTATGAATTAGTTTAGTTTATCTATTTATTCATAAAGCATCTTTCACTTAGCATCCTTTGGACCATTCCTTCTTCAGTTTTTCAACTAACCATATATTGGTTACATTTTGTTAACAGCCTACATACAGTCCCCATTTTCCTAATATATAACACAATGAATGACAAAATGCCCCTTTATTTCAATTTTACAAGAATGAGCCATGTTTAACAAAGGACCATCTCATCACTTATTAATAGAATAGTAACATAAGGTGGTAGATGCAAAACAGAATGTAATAGGTTGTCAAATGAAAGGCCATAGTAAAGGATTTTTCACGAAACAAAGACTGCAAGTGTGGTGAATTGGAAAGAGTAAAAAGGAAGAGTTAGTTTTAGGAAAAACATAAAAATTTGCAATTATGTTTACTTGTCAGCAAATTGATCCCGGCACTGATGACATTTCAGATGGATGAAGCATTTATTCTAACTGATTCGACAAAATACTTGGCTGGAGTTGAAGAGCTAGAAACTAGCATAGATTTGGAAGGAACAGGAACAGCAAAAGACTTAGATATGCTGGAGCAGAATCAACAGGCATATGACATTTATAGCAAGAGTATGGCTTCTGAGATCAATGAAATTGACCCAAATTCAAATAAGGCTATTCAAACAGAAATTCTGCAGCCATTAGACATTGACATAGAGGTAAGCATAGAAGAGCTTGAGGTTCTAATCACAATGAAATGCCCATGGAGGGAATGCTTATTGATTCGTATTATGGAAGTACTAAGCAATCTCAACTTGGAGACTCACTCAGTTCAATCATCAACTCTTAATGGTATTCTCTCCGTGTTCCTTAAATCCAAGGTTTGAGTCCACCACTGAATCTTAGCAAATCTATTGATGGATATCTTTTCATTTATAATCATCAGTCTAGACATATCCTGAAATGAGGTCGGTAATATCATGAATGCTGATTTTTTTCTTTTTATTTTTTTATTTTTTTATTTTTTACTTAATTTCAGTTTCAGAAGGCAGCATTTGCATCAGAAGGGATGATCAAAGAAGCTCTTAGTAGAACTATCGGAACGTGTTGAGATGTAAAATCGATTCTATCAGTGTAATGCTACTCAGTCTTCAAACTCCAATTCACACCAAATTACTTGTGCCAACCCTTAGATACTTGCCTACTACACAAGCCTTGAACACTTTAAATTGAGTAAATAATTAAATGAGGACATCTAGAGTCCGGACTGTTTCTGATGCTGGTCTAAGATGTGGAAATAAATCAGCAGCTTCTGTATATTATTACAAAAATAAAAATATAAAAAATAAATAAAATAAAAACAAACTTGAAACTGAATGACTATCTTCCTATCTTTTTATCTAAACTATGTACACCAAGTAGCTAGTTACTTTGTACTCCAGATATGTAGATTCTAGTAAACTAAGTTGCTTAATCTGATAGTCGAACTAGCAATTGAAGGCAAAGAAAAGGAAAAAGTAGCACATGCACAAGGCTTGAAATTAATAAAGCAGAGGGAAACAAGCAGCTGCTTTTAAGGCCAAATTGGTTAAAAACTCATGCTTAATGAAGCAGCAAGTAATTAGTCAGGCTTCGTGCAAGAATTTCAGGTGCAAACTCACTCAAGCTTGAATAGTAACAGTTTATATAGGACATCTATGTAAGATAGTGAATGTAATATCAGTCCCGACAAGTAAGAGGTCTTTTATCAACATCATAAACTTATATAGTCTGCTTCTCCTTAAATCATCAAATATCAAATGCTGCAGTCAATCTATGTCTCCAAATAACCAAAGAATAGATTCATGAATTCAGATATGTTACTCTCCTAAGACAACTCAAGTGAGCTGTACGCCTATTAGCTACTAGCCTATGACCTACTATTAATACACATGAAACTGAGTACATATTCCAACAATAGCAACAGACGTCTACAATATTTTTATAGAACAAAGAAACAGAATGTGTACATATCAAATTATAAGCTAGTAGAAGCACCTATTAGAAATTTTTTGATGATAACTACTTACTCTTTTTAAAGCAGTAAACAAACTATAATTTAATTTTCAACAAAGTTGAAAGACATTATAAGGGATTCTTTTAATATTTACGCAGCATTTTTTTAATCTGTAATTTATTATGAGCTACTTACTCCGAAAATGTCAATCATATATATCAATCTACACTCTTGAAAATGCCTCTATGATAGTTGTCCATGTCTAATCTCCATTTCCCGGTTTAAGTATGGGCATTTGGGAATTTATCGTATCATAATCTGTTACTAGTAATGAAAGTGACTATTTTCTATTAGTATTCCCAAAATCATATATGTGCCTCAAATTCTTGAACACAGCCACACAAGGAAATCAAATGTTTTACCAAGATGCCCTGTTTTTAGTTTATGAAAATAAAAGATCAATCAACTTCTGTTTTATAAAGTTCTAAAGGAAAAAATCAATTTAAGAGAACCCTTTGATTTAATCATCTCACATCTTAATCAGACACAATAATAACTTAAGGGGCTAATGGGTGACATAGACTTGAGTGATTCTGATTAAATTTCAGGTCAAGAAGTCAAAGGACACAATGGCTACATATATGATAAAACTTAGCACAGTGAATCAAGCAAGGATAAAGAAATTTAAATTGGCCTTAATTTTACTCAAGCAACAATCTTATATGGTTTTCAAGAAAGCGAAAGAAGGCATAGGAGATATATTCAAATCAATAAGATAAGTAATTTCCCAGCTGTATCCTGTATGTCTAAGGAATTTAAAAGGGGATCTATTGCTTCTTTGACTAATGCTCCAACTATAGTTTTTTCTTAAACTTTATGGCTTAGCTTCAATCATGCATATATTTAACTAATAGTACCAATAAACAAAATAGTCGACTACATCATTACATGTAAATCAATTCTAGAAGCAGCAACGACTGTTCAAAGGTGTAAGCATCTTGATTCGAAGAAGCTCCTATATAGCAGTAGGAAAACATGGATTGTCCTTACATGCCAACTGTAATAAGCAACTGAGGTAATACCAAATCTACTAGTTGTGAGGCTAAGTGAACCTTTATTGTTTATTATCACATGTATTGGTGTGGTAGCAAGTTCAGTGCACACTTCACTTAGACAATATAAACTCTCTGTCACTAGGAGTTCACACAAGACAACCTATTTCTTAAACTATGCTCCTCAAATTTAGGGTCAAATCTACAGTGACTGTCTAGCCTAAATAGGCCTTTTGGTCAAACATAACTTGGTTTAAATATTTAAACATACTCCTAGCTTAGAGCATGAGACCCTTGGTAAGACTTTTTAACATACTCTTGCAGAAGAGAAAACCAACTAGGTGACTGCATCTTTCGATCTTTTCCCGGAAATTTTCATCATTGTTTAAGTTACATTTGATACTTGTTCCGTCTCTCTTAAGTAGGCCACATTTGGTTTGAGGCAACTTCATAGAGATGGGGTTAAGATACCATGATTATTATAATTTTTTGAGATATACAATCAAAGGTTGACTTTTATGTATTTTTTTTTATCTCAGAACAAAAATAAAGCACTTAAATTCATCATAGAATATTGTAATATAACAGGTAGATTGAACTCTACACTAGACCTAAATAAAAGATTTATCATGAAAAAAATGAAATCAACTATGAAGGAAATGAGCTAACGCCGCCTTAATACATTAATTTATTACAAATCCAGCCTGGGAAGTAACATAGCTCTCAGCCTCTCAAAGGAATAAAACAAAAATTGATCCACAGTAGTCTACTCGAAAGTGAATTCATACAAATATTAAAGACAAGTTTTTTCTTTGGCACATGGAATAGTAATGTTTCAAACGGGAGCAATATGAGCATCTAATATTATACTCCCAGGTCATTAATCAATGGAAACTATCATCCTATAGGGGAGCAATTAGACATGTTCATAATTCAGCAGGTAAAAATGAAACAACTTGCTCATTTTTCATTATTCATGTCCTTTTTGTGTGACTTGCAGCCACGGCTGAAACGCTAGATGTTGATGTAAGCATACAAGTAAGACCATAATTAATAACTAACATTTGCACAAGAATATTGGGCACAAAAACCAAACATTACTTGTATAATTCATCATGGAAGGAGCAACAACACATAAGTATTCCCACAACAACAAGCAACAAAGTCAAAGCCTCCAAGTCGCCTATAAACTAAACCTTACATCGTTGTGATCTGTCTTTCTCTTGAATAACAGAAAAAAAAACAGTTGGATAATTATTAGCAAGCAATCATGAACCGCAGTTAGGATCACACTATATTAAACAGCAGGAACCAATTAACAGTCATAATACAGTTGACAATCGTACATTGGAGGCAATATTTTCTTTCTGATCTTAGAAAGAATGGTCTCTGGAGTATTCATGATTATTTACATCCCAACTCCAGTCCCTGCAAAATCTCTAACCGTATTCCCCACTTTTTCATACCTCTCTTTATCATCAAATTCTCTAAAACGGATATAGTCCAAGCAAACAAATGGCTTGAAAATCCTGTTATTACCTTCTCCCACAACCTCCTCAGGTGCAAAGATCAGCTTCTCATCTTCAAAAGTCCAAAAGAAAGCCAAGGACAAACGATTTCTAGGTTTTCTTAACATGACTCGATGCTCAGATGACCTTAGACTTCCATTGCTCCAAGCTTCCATCATATCACCTAAATTCACCACAAGACTACCCTTGCAAGGTTCAACATCCATCCACTTTCCCTCCTTTGATCTTACCTGAAGACTGCTTACATCGTCAGGATACAGGATTGTCATACAGCACATGTCTGTGTGCTTTCCAAGCCCTTCTACTTCTTCATGAGATGGTCCTGGGGGACTGTAGTTTATAATCCTTAGATAGCCATAACATTTCCCAAATTCAGTTTCATAGAATTTTTTCTCAAAACCATCTCCCAAGCTCATCAATATGACCTCTAGAATCCTCTTGGATAATTCTGTCATTTTGAACCCATACTCTTGCACCACCTCACTGTCAAAGAAAACTTATGTACATGTGATAACACTACAACTAAATTGGATGAAATATGAAATCTACAACATCCCATCCTAGTAAACTAAAAAAAAGAAAGGAATGATAAAGAAATGATGAGGCTGCACACAGTGTTTACCTGAATTCATTACTCTTCTGGCCAAAAAGAACTTTACCAGAACATTCAGCAGAGGAAAAGAAATCTGGACCTAAAACTCGAAGACCCTCATAGAAAGGAGAGGCTATAAATTGAGGAGTATAACTCTTAACAGACGACGAAGGACCAAGCTTGAGTTTTGTCTCAGAGGGAAGGCTGTAAATTTGTCTCGAAAATGAGGATAACTTGCTGTAAAGTTCTTCAGATATTCCATGATTAATGATATGAAAGAAGCCCCATTCTTTGCAGGCTTCCAAAAGAGAGGACAAAGAAGATGGATTTGGTTCCTTTGAGAGGTCCAAGATTGAAAGCTTTAGAGAGCTAGGAGATTGAGACATTCTATTCTAGAAAAAGACAAAAAGGTTTGGCTGCCAACTAATCCTGTACACTAAGATACAGTTGGAAGGTTAGATTACAAGGCAGAGAGAATGTCTATATCTTATATATAACCTTTTTAGGATCAGCAGCAGTGATTATTTCCTACGCACATATGAGTTTCTTGATGGTTAGAATTCTATATATGCAGCACCGTATTATGAGTAGAAAATGACTACTAGGACTAGGTCATTATATCATAATCTGTAGCAACTTGAATAAAAAGTCTTCTCACTTACTTTCATCTAGGCATTTGGGTGTATTGAATGTTTGACTACATAAAGAAAAGTTTTCCATCCAAACGGTTTAAGTAATTAAAAAGTTTTTGCAACTTGCTAGTTAAGCAATTGAATAGCAATGCCTGCATCAGCTTTGTCTTATTGGGAAGGTTATAGGTAATTATGTTAGAAATGGAATAAGGTTCTTGATAAATAGGAGATAGCAAGATTATATCAAGAGGTTCGTAAATAATTTTTTTTTGGCTTCATAAGTTCATAAGTAAAATTCACCTTTCAGGAAAATACAGGCTCAGCTAGTGGACAGGTCAGATTTCATCCTATCACATCAGATTTTTCCAAAGTGTATGCAGACATTATGACCTCAGCTAGGCTTGAGAGAAACATACTACAGTTGAAAAGAAACCTAGGAGATCCTCATGCATACAATATACTAAAGGTTCATTTAGAACGAGGTATTTAAATTAAGCCATAGCTCAAAGGTAAGATAAGTAAATATTGACAGGATATGAGGTAACTCTTATCGATCAGTGGTCTTTCTGCAGACAGGTAAGATAAGTAAATGTAAAACGGGGCGAATTTGACTGTTGTCTTAGATACACATATGGTATCATCAAATCTGGTTAAAGATATGACATGAGAGTAGGATAATTCAAGAAAGACCAAGGATGAAGCAAAAGTCTGAAAAGTATCATGTAT